GCACCCAACTCGCTGATAAGAGAGAGATTGTGGCCGTCTGCCCAGCCTGCGATGTCATCTCCCCGGTTCCCGTTCCTCGTCCCGGGCTCCCAAGAGTAGTGATGCGCGTTGAAGTCACCCGCGATCAAAGCTCGCTCCGGGGGTTTGAGTTCTAGCAGTATCCCTGTTGTGCGGCTGTGGGGGTCGCGGGGTTGTCTGTACACGTTGACGATAGTCGTCGTTTTGTCGACCACCAGCCACAGTACGTCTCTCGTGTGGACAGGCCTCTGCTGCTCCACCGTCATCCCTATCCCTTTGCGTGTGTAGGTCAATACTCTTGGTCTGGTTCCTTCGCTGTCCCAGAAGTCGACCGGGACGAAAGAGTCGAAACCCGGGTGCGTGTTCAGTTGCACGTTTCCGTCCTTCCAGCCCGTCCAGGGTTCCTGGACGAGGACCACATCTATCTGAGCCTCCCAGCAGAGCTGCAGGAAAGCCGTGTGCGCCGGGGAGAATCTTTCCGACGTTGCCCCTGCGCAACGCGTAGCATCCGTGGGTCGCCGCTCTCGGCTTACGTCTCCGAGTCGAGTTCGAGGTGGGTGTAGGCATTCGCGACGTTGTAGTTTGGCTTCTGTGCTGCCCGTTGGCTCCTGCTTGGCATGGGTAGCACGGACGGTCGATGGAGGTGTTGTCGGGGGAGTCTTCGCCTTCGCCTTCGTCCGCCTCGTCTTCATCCATGCTGCTGCTGTCAGTGCTTCCGTCACCGAGGCAAACGATCGAGCTTGCGGAGGGCGTTCTCGTGCGCGCGCGCTTGGCGCCGGGTTGCTGGTTCTGGCTGGTGGAGGTAGGGACGCCTGCCGCCTCCTGGCTACTGTCGGATCGAGTAGCCTTGTACAGAGTGTCCGATGCTTTCTGGCCGGCCTTCCGGATCCGAGCCCGCTCCTTTCGACCGGGAAGGGAGACGACGCCGTTTACGGCCGAGGGCCTCGCTGGGCAGTCTGTGTGGCTGGCTTGGAAGGGGCCGCAGCAGTTGGCACATTGGGGCCTGGCCATGCAGGGTCCCGTTTCGTGTGAATCGGAAGGTCTTCCGCAGTTGCTGCAGATCGGTCGTCGTCCGCAGAACCGGTTGGAGTGGTAGCCCTGGCAGCCGGGGTCGTGTCGGATGAGCGTCCTTCGTTTCTTGACGGGCAGAGATCTGCCGCTTTGGTTGAAGAGCCTGAAGGGCGTGACCTCTGATGTGAATGATATGAGCCAAGATATTTCGTTCGTGACTGGGTTGGGCCCAAGGCGGGACGGTCGAGCAAGGACAGGCTTCTGTCCTGTCTGTGCGAAGACCTCATCTTCAACGAGTGTGGCTGGGTCCAGGACGTCCCCGCCAATGCTGTGTAGTTTTGTTGGGCATCGCGGCACAACGTAAGTGTACCACTTGATAGGCGTCTCGACCTGGTGGGCGCCGAGGCATTCCGCCAGCTTTGCCTTACTTGCAAGTAGTCTTTCCTGTATTTGCTTGTTTCGCGGCTTCAGAGAGTAACCTGTGCTGATATGGTAGACGTGGGGAAGGTCCGCTAGCCCCAGGCCAACGGCCTTACAGACGATCTGTCGTACGGCGAACGGTGCGATCTTCCGAGCGGCCGCTAAGCTTTCTTCCGGGACGCGGGCAAAGATGCGGAGGTCCTCCTTCGGCTGCGCCTGCGGCTGATCCTCGGCGGGGAGTGTGGCCTTCGGGCGGGCAGAGCTCTGGCAGCTCTGGCCGCTCCGGGTCGCCGCAGTGGTGTTGCCCGCCATCGGTGCGACGACAGCCGCCCAACTCCGGGCCGCTATTGGGCTTGTCTCGTGATTGATCAGTCTCTTGAGGGTTTGAATGACATAGGCAGTGGCTTCTTTCGCGATCTGCTTTCTAGAACCGTCAAAGCTGGCGACAACGCTGTCGACGGACCGTGCAATGGTCAGAAAGACGTCTTTCCGTGCCTCGTACTGTCTAGCTTCTTCTGCAAGGGCTGTCAAGACGGACCCTGTGGCAGATCCGCTCGGAGCAGATGCGGTAGAGGCTGCGGGCCCCTCGGCCGAGGTAGGGGCGTCGGTGGTGGCATCAAGCTGGCTTCCCGTTAGGCTGGGCCGGGTCGGCTGTGCCTCGGCGTCGCGGCGTCGCTTAGCTCTTGAGGTGGGGTTCGGCTCCGGAGGTGTCCCGGAGCCTGGTTCGGGGTCGGCTTGGTCGGCCGACATCAGTCCGGTGCCCGACGGCGGCTGTGAGGCCATCGCGGATGCGGGCTCCGGCAAGGGGAGGTGAAGAGTTTTCGGCTGTTAGTAATTTGGTGGTAGGCTCACTCATTCACTAACAGCAGATGCCAAGAAAAATTAGGCGAGAGGGAAGTTGATGCCATTTATATTGTTTGCCACGGTCTGCTCAAAGTTTGCTGATGCGGGGCACAGAATACCAATATTCAAACGACCAGGCAAGGAGTACCACACTGAAGCAGTCCTCAGGTTGCAAGCGCTAACTGCTTCTGTGTAGTGGGAAAATGACCGTCTCAGTAAGTGAGGCACTCATGATAAGCGCGTCAAACACTACAAAGAACAAAAGCGTTTCGTGATTATCTAGAGCTCACGGTGCTAATGAAGTAGATTTTCAACACCTCATCTGGAGTCTCACGCTTGAAGGTAACTTGGCGGTTTGTCCAGCTCATCGAACAGCGAAGCGTGTCCTGGACATGGGCACTGGGACCGGCGTATGGGCGATAGCTTTTGGTTGGTTGCCGTCCCTCTCACTTTGTTCGAATATTGTCCCGGTTAACAGATGTCAAAGCGAACGAATTTAAAGATGCAGAGGTTTGTTACTAGCATCCAGTTACTCTTGATACACTTTGACTAAGTTCAGGTCAGGTCATCGGTGTTGACTTCAGTCCTATTCAACCTTCGTGGTACGACTTTCTGTCGTTTTGTTTATCGATCTCTATAACTAGCTCTGATGGATGAAATAGGGCTCCACATAATTGCACATTTGAGATTGACGATCTCGAAAAACCCTGGGCCTGGCACGAGCCATTCAACTTCATCTTCTGCCGTACCATGGAAGGATCGTTTGCTGATCCACAGCTGATCATCCAAGAGATATACGAGTAAGACTTCTTGAGCTATTTAGCAGAACGTCGGAGTTTGGACAGTGCGTTGAGGTCATTGATAGCAATCTGACACCAGGGGGTTGGTTCGAAGCCGGGGGGTTTGTCCTTCCTATGGGCTGCGATGACGGCAGCGTTCCCGAGGAATCGGCCCTGCGGAGATGGCACGACCTAATGGCACAGGCAGGTGAGCAGTGTGGACGCTCAATTGAGAGCCCATCAAAATATACCAAAGCCATCGAGGACGCCGGGTTTGTGGACATTGTTACCCATAAATTTGTCTGGCCCTTGAATACGTGGCCCAAGGACAAGAGATTCAAAGAGATTGGAAGATGGATGGTTCTCAACCTCGACATGGGCATTGAGGCACTGACTTTGGGTCTTCTTACGCGCGTCATGGGCTGGACAGAAGAAGAAGTCTTACGTTTATGCGACGACGTTCGGAAAGACTTGTCAAAGACGTGGTACCACGCATACTGGAATGTGTAAGTTCTCCATTGTTTCGGGATTTAGGAGCACCTATGACATTGCATAGTCGATTCTAACCTATCTTTAGGCACGTTGTTTATGCTCGGAAACCATTGCAGACCGAGTGCGACCCAGAGAGCCAGAGGGAGGCAGGTCCTTGTCCTCGGTCTGAACCACCCGGGCCAGCCAAATCACCTGAACCACTGAAATTACCTCAACCACCCAAATCATCTGGATCACCTACGCATGAATCGCCCAAGTCATCGGGGTCATCCGATTCGCCTCCCAGAAAACGGAAGAGGGGTTGTGAGGCGCTTTCAGATCCGTGATATATCATTTAATTGCATTGGAATTATCAATACTTGTCAATAGTGTCTCGAATACTGCATGGCACCAAAGATTCTACAATAAACAAAGGCAAGCTTTAGTTCTTGTTTTGCAAGCTGTGATGCGCAAAGCATTGAAAGCAGGGCACACTTTCTCGACATAACTTCATTGTTTTTCCAAAGTTGCACCTCGAAATCAGCTTCCAAGTGTACCCCATCAACTGCTACCTTAGATAGCGTCATTATACCCATCTTCAGTCTTTCTCTAGTCGTTTTATTTTCCTTATATCCGCTTATGAACAATCTCTAAATAGATTAAACTAGAAGAACGACTAGAGACGGATATAATGACGCTATCCAGCAGTCAATAGGATAAACACATTGATTTTCATATTGACTGCTGAACTCCATGATATAATTTAGTTTGGGAGCAGTCTCTGAGTGCCCCATTTAGATGTTAAAATACCTATCTCAGACACCATTAGCGATACTCTGTCCTAACATTCATTATGGAGCTAGACTCGATGCAACTTAAATTTGGCATCCTCATCGCTAAGCTTTCCTCGACACCAAGAAGACAACTTGGAAGGGGAATACTCCGCACGGACCACCTTATCAGCCTATATTAACCCTAGTTTTGCCTCGCCTGCCAACCAACTATCACTGGATGTCAACATCCACCAATCCCCGATAGTCTAGTGGTGAGGATATCTGCTTGTCATTCTCAATTCCCCATCAAGGAGTTATGTTTTGCGTTTCTGGCAGAAGAGGCATAGCATTAGACACTTTATGGTCTGAATATCGTGTGTAACCCATTTCGGGAGGCTCCTGTCCGAATCTCCGGAGGGGTGCACCGAGAGCTGGAATACATGGAAGGAGGGATGAATGGCCTCTTGCTAGGACATTGTTCACATGTTTGCACTACTTCTCACTAGCTATCGCATGTCGAAAGTGCGACGAAATCACATTCCGAGATGTATCACGGAGTAGAGAGGTACGATTGAGAAAATACGTGTCGTTGAATTACGCAAGATGCTAAGCTGCTGACCACGAGGATATTCGTAAGTCGGGAGTAGGAGAGTTGGTGCGTATCCCACCGGAACCGAGGTCGAACAGAGTCAACAAGCCAAGCTCCCGCGGTCCCCATCATCAGCTGAAAAGATGAGATCGTTTCTTTGCCCGTGCCTACCAATTTTCTACATGAAATGACTTGGCGCAAAGAGACAGGATGCACGAGCGTTTCCCGCTACCCTTGGTTAGAATAAGGTAGTATGGTCTGGAAGACGCGGGGCTCGAGCTGTCGAGAATACATGTACTATAAGCTTGTTCCTGGTGTGAGAAGGGACCATGCGTTTGCCTCCTGCAGTCATCCACAGGTTCAGTTAGGCTTCGCCGACCGGGGAGCTTGGCGCGCCAGCACGATATGGTTGGTCGTTTCGACTTCCTCGAATTTCGCTCCGAAGCGGATAAGTGTGATGGCAGCACACGTGCAGGCTTTGACAAGCGCTGTCTAAGTCCGCAAATGAGTTGTACGTGATACAAACTGACTCTCATAGTTGTATATACACAACGGCGAGCCGCTCATAATTGATATTGCAATTGGCACATTCATGATTATACGGCGCATGTCTTGCTTGCCAATCCCTCAAATTTTGCCTCAATCGCCAAGACGGAACAAAGGCAACCCCTCCTTTCCTTATAGCGGATCGTGGGCCCGCAGGCTCCAAAAGCCCACCTCGCGTTTGTTCCAGTCTGAGACGCGTCTCCTCGTTAAACCCGCCGTGGCAGAGGAAATGAGATCCAGCAAAAGGAAAATGCGCTGGGTCCCTATGTCCCATGCTCTGCTATCAAGTTGTCAGGATTTTGGTTCACCTTTCATGAAGTCGATCTGAACGACATTGGCAAAACCCCACGTCCGAATGGAAAACAAATCTCTTGCTGCTTTCGTCCGTAGGCTCATCAATCATGCGTCTTCCCAATTTCCCATCCTGCGGCTCCCGCGGGGACTTTTGTCATTTAGGCGGGGGAGAAAGGAAACAAGTGGCGAACCGATCTTCCAGAGGGTGTTGAGATTGCGGCGCGGGCAACCTTTCAAAGGTCATGACATGAACGGCGTCCGGATGGGTGCAAGTGCATTTGTTCAGCTGAGTGGTTTGCTTTGTTGAAATGGGTTGACGCCACGGGCGCCACGCCGCAAAGACGCTGTTAAGAAGTCGGGCGCCATGGAATGGGAAGATTGGAAGCAGCACACTTGAAGTTCGCTTGGAGGATCGCGGGATGGCGCTTGAAGGTTGAAATTGGGTAGGATCCAGGAACCGTTCAGGAACCATTCAGGAACCGGGACTGGTTGTGGGAGAAAGGAGTCCCTGGCGCATCACCGCACACACCCAATCGAAGCCCCTGCCGACTGTCTGGCGCCCAATAGACTGTGAACGAGTGAAGTTGCGACGCAGTCAGCCGTCCGGTTTGGGCCAACAATTCCCCCTTTTTTCCCCTCAAAACACCAACACACAAACCAGACCAAAAAGTGGTGAACCAAGCAGCCACCAGAGGCCGAGCAGCGAAGCCGGGCTAAACTGTGCCGCAAACTGCTTAAATGCTTTCGCTTAGGTTGACGCTACGTGAGGCCACTCTAACCTCTCCGAGAAGTACCATCCGTGCCACGGTCCTGTCTTGAGTGACATGCCCGCCATCGTGAACCGCCCACCTGGCACCGACAGTCCCCTTGCGAGTAAGAGTAACTGACTCTCTGGGCGGCTTGCCAACGCCGAGGCGCGCCGTGGACGATAATACGAACTTGCCTTGGCTCCGTGTCGTTCGATGGAGATTTCACGGCCGAGAGGATCCGGGGTTGACTCCACCCCTTTTGCGGCGCGGGTGCAGCTGATGCCTATGGCCAATTTCCCGCATCCTCGACCTCCCAAAGAGCACATAATGGCCGCGATGCCCCCCTAAACTTGCTACGCACTCTCAGGTTTCCCTTTTGCTTCCTCACCGATCCCAGTCACTCTTTTACCACTATCCGGATCCGAAAAAAACTCCACCAAAATGCGTTTCTTCTCCGTTGCCCTCGCCATTGCGGCCCCTCTGGTTTCCGCCATTGAGTTCACCAGCCCCTCGGCCAACTCCACCGTTGCCAAGGGCAAGAGCTACGAGCTGTCGTGGAACACGGTCGACACTGACCCTTCGACCTTCAGCGTCTTCCTCGTCAACTTTGTCAACTGGCCTCCTTCCTATGTCCTCTTGGCTCAGGACCTCGAGACCGCCGCCGGCTCTGCCTCCATCGACGTTCCCTGCTCCACCCTCAACACTGACGGTTACCAATTGTGAGACACTCTCTTTCTTCTTTGTCCGTTGTGTCTCTGGCTCTTACGCCATTATCACTTCTCTCTTTTCAAGTTGTCTTGACTCTTGAGTCTTGAATTCCCATTTGTACCCCTGAACTGTGCCCCCATTAGCCTGTTCCGGGCAGGGGTCAGATTTTGACGAGTCATGCGCTGCAACGGTCATTTTAAATGAACAGCGGGGTGAACCATTCCAAAACAGAAGAAAAAAACAGGGGGTCAGATAAGATTGAAGCCAAGGGGAGGATGGCTAACCCGAGATCCAAACAGCAACGCCATCAACGGCACCAACGTCTACGTGATCTACGCGCAGACTCCCAAGTTCTCCGTCACCGGATCCGACTGCACCGATCCCACCACGCTGCCCCCGGCTTCGCCCTCCACCTGCGCGCCGCCGAGCACCGTCACTGTCACGGTGAGCAAGACCCTTTCCAAGAACTCCACCGCGACGGCGACGGGCGGTTTCTCGGCGGCCCAGAGCAGCTTCATCACGACCACCGCCGCCGTCCCGGCCACCACTCCCGATGCCCCCGTCTTCCATGGTACTTGTCCTGACACCATTGGCTGGGCCTCAGACTACCATCACCCCGTAACTCTCACCAAGCCCCCTAAGGCCCCCGAGGTCACCGGCGCTCCCTACCCGACCGGCTCCTTCAGCGCCAAGCACGACGAGGAGGTGACTACCATCTACCGTACCACCTACCTGCCTTTGGAGTTGGCCCCGACTGGTGCTTGCAAGTGTTAGAGTACCTGACACGACAAACATCACTGACAAGAACTCTCCACGACTGACACTAACAAACGGCCCTGATGTGAATTTGTGGTCGAAACCGGGAAACGGAAAAACCGGGAGGAAAACCGGGGAGTAAGAGGCTGCAGCTTACGTCGTCTCCTTTGAGGCAAAAACTTTCTTGGACGTTGGTGGTTTGGTGTAATACTTTTTGGGCAGCAGAGAAAGAAATCGAAATGGGGTTGCGAAGTGAAGGCCGATCCTCGATATCACTTCCAACGCCCTCACCTTGAGCCCTCAACTCCGTCGCATCACCCCTACCACGTCTCCTTTTCTTGTTGTGTGTGCGCTTTCACCTCTTAATGTCTAAATGTCTCATGACACCACAAAAAAAGATACCATCAAATCAACTTACATGGCACCACATGACCCAGATCCAGACCCTTGACATGCGCAATTGCAGAAGTCCGGAAACTTGCGAGAGTTGCAAAACAGATAAACACAAGCAACCCCAGCAACGCCAATAATAGCCCGCGCTGCCGCAGCTCCGTGACGCCAAGCCGTGCCGAAATGGTGGAGACGGACCACTTGCGGCGCCGTCCGATGTCACTCAAAACCGATCCCACCTCATGCGCGCCAGCCATAACGTGCGGCCTGTTGGTGTTTGGCGGTGGTCTACCCAATCCTCCAACTTGACGTGCGTTCTAATAGCATCCTTCCCCTGGATGGTGCCTACCCTTTTCGTCCCACTGCCAACAGTAGTGCAGGGTTTCCTCCATACCCGGCAAGTTGGATCGGCGGACAACACGCCTAAAGTTGAAGGCTTTGAAAAAGATTCCCTCGTAGGGCCCAAGCACCCAAGGCGAGTCCCTGTTGCACCAGTAAATAGGGCTTCATGCGGCTCTAGGTCTCTCGATACCACGTTCTACGGCCCGGGTTCACGTCCACGTCACCCTGCAAACACGGGGAGGCAGAACCAGCTAGCCTAGTCCAAAGTAAGCATGTTCTTGTATTGCGGACACTGGGGAAACGCACTTCTGACGACATCCGATTCCATATGTCGTTCCCATATGTCGTTCCTCCCTTGGGTGATATGTGGGACTGTAAGTGCCCGGTTCCCTCTTTTCCTCTTTTCCCCAGACTGTTCATCACTTCATCTCGTCTCTCACTTGGTTCGTGACTGTTGTCGTTCCTCTTGTCTTTTATCATTTTGATAGAACTGAAGCTTGATGCTTCGTGACGTATTCTTTTAATTCCCTTCAATCCATTCTTTGCTGCTGTGCAGCTCAATCTTCGCACTTATAAAACTGTCCTTTTAGTCTTTGATTGATTTGCTCGAGAAAAGATGCGTTTCTCTTCCATGGTTGCCGTCACCCTCTTGGCTCTTGGCGAGACTGGGCTCTGCGATCGCCAAGAAAGGCAGTCAAAGTTGTTCTCTGTAAGTTGTCCTACCTAGGCATCCCACTACTACCCAGAGATCAGATCATGACTTGGAATCGTTCATACTTCTCTTTAATTACCGTCTCTAACATAGCTTGCCACTATAGGGTAGCGTCGCCGGCCGCGCCGCGGTCCTCGTTAGACAAGAAGTCGACAAGCCCACCGTCGAGAAGAGACAAATCAGCTTCGAGAACGGAGGCATCAGCATCGGCGGCGCCGGAGGACTCCAGCTCGGCGGGAAGGGCAAAGGCAAAGGGAATGCTAACGGCCAGGCTACTGCCGGTCAGCCCGGTACCAATGTCGCTGGTAACCGAACCGCCAACAACAACGCCGGCCTGACTATCGGCGGCATCAACCTCGGAGGCGGCAACGTCGGGACTACCGGAGGCAATGGAGGCACCGGCAACAGCGCACTGGATGCTTTCCTGAACGCAGCCAACGGCAAGAAGAAGAACAATGGCACTGCTAATGCTGGCGAAGGTGCCGCTGCGCCGGGCAAGGCTGCTGGTGGCGAAGGACAAAAGGCTGGTGCTGGTGCTGCTGCCGGTGGTGGAAAGCAGAAGGGCGAGGGCGGTCCCGGTGCTAACCCCGGTGAAGCCGCAAAGGCTGAGCAGGGACTCGGAGCAAACCCCGGCGAGGCCGCAAAGGCTAACGAAGCCGCGAAGGAAGCGCAGCGGAAGGGTGCTGGGGCCGGCCTCGGGGAGGCTAAGCCGGCTGGTGAGGCTCCGCCTGCGAATGCTGCCGAGGGGCCCAAGCCTGCCGAAGGAGCCGTGCCTGCTGAAGGAGCCAAGCCTGCTGAGGGAGCCAAGCCTGCCGAAGGAGCTGCCGAGGGACAGCCCAAGGCAGTACAGGAATCGGAGCAGTTCAAGGACAACGCCGGCATCACTCTCGGTACTGATGGCCAAGCCCAGAACAGTGAGTTCTTAATATCGCACAATCCAGATCTCTTGATGGCTAATCGTGGATCCTAGTCGGAGGCAATCTCGGTATCACCAAAGGTAGCGATGGCAGCACATCCGTCGGCGGCAAGTCTGGTAAGACGATCTCGCCTCTTTCCTCTAGCTTGAACCTCACTGACGGTCTATAGGTATTAACATTAGCCCTGGTGGTGCCCAAAGACAAGGCAAGGGTAAGGGTAATGGCCAGCAGCAAGCGACTCCGCCGCCCGCTGAGGGACAGCCGGCTGCCCAGCCTCCAGCTGCGGCACCTGAAGCTCAGCCGGCGACGCCTGCGGCTCCGCCCGCTGCTCCAGCCGCTGAAGCTTAGGAGGATACTCTGCGGTTATATAGCACTCTGTTACGGTACAATAATTGAAACGGGTGGCTTACTCTAGAGGATGGGCAGTGACATATTGTTGTGCTTGACTTATTGTAGACTGTCTAAACAGATAGGAGTGGCCTCAAGGGACAACTCCCGGTTCGTCATCAGCTCGGAACAACATGCCATGCCTATTGCCATACCCCTTTTCATACAATGAGGAACAAACTTTTCCCTTCCACAGATAGCTACCCGTGAATACCAGCCATTTCCATGACAATCGACAACCAAGTATCGCCCCATCTGTGTTATACCTGCGTTTGTGGCATCGGAACTCCTCCAAAGGCAACTTCAGATTAAGCCATGGAAGCTTGCGACTCGTTGACCTCGCGGCATTCGCATCCTTCAGGGCAGTTGGACCCCAACAAGTTGCGCAAGCGAACGCCTTTCTCGGTGAAGAGCATCTCGAACACCGGCCTGCGGAGCTCGCAGCCGCAAGCGTACACCGTAGTACCCTTCTCCTTGAAAATATTGCAAAGAGTGCTGTAGTTTCTCTTGTGCATACTCATCCACTCAGCCAGATCCCCGTAATCGACGCGACGAAGGGGCACAACGCCAGCGTGCTGAGTTGGGGGTGGACGGCGCGGGCCAAAGATGGGGACTATCGCGTAGTACAAGTGGAGCTCCTTCAGGTTAGGGAGCACCATGGCAGCGTGGACGTGCTTGTCGAAGCCCTGGGGAAGCATGATCTTGAACTTCTGAATGCATTCCATGAACTGAAGTCCCTCGGGAGTGGGCAGGTGGAGTGCCATTCCCAGGAAGTCTGCGTAACGTTGGATGACGCTAATCTCTCCGCCCATGAATTTGAGGCCAACGACGAAATCATCGGTGGTGGGAAGGACCCAGGCCGTCATGAGAGATCCAATAGCCATTCCGAGCGGGCTCATCGTGGCTCTGGGGAGACGGCGGTAGGTCCGATGGACGAGGGCGCGGGACTTCTGGTTGAGCTGGGAGGCCATGCGGATGCGAGAGAATCGTCGCTTCATGGCCTTGACGTGGTCGAAGCCGCCCTCGTTCATGTCGGTAAGGACAAGCTTCGAGGCCGTGTCCTGCATGTATGCGATGCCCCAGTTGAAGGTTGTCTCCTTGGACGCGGCATCGGTGATGAGGGCGTCGACGATGTTCAGGATGATGTCCATGGATAGAGAAGCCGGCCCAGTATTGCCAGGAGGAGTAGACTGGAGAAGCTTGGACAGGGAAATGGGCTTGGAGGACTGGGTGCCTTGGCGGCCCTTGTCCTTCTTGTTGTGGTGAAGCATGATTCGAGTTGCCGGCAGGAGGGGGACAATTTGTCGAGGAAGATTTGTGTGAGAAGTTGATGCAATCTGACTGAAGATGAACTTGTTAGAGCCGAGCTGAGGGAAGCAAATGGCCGTCTTACCGGTCGTTTGCGGGATGTACCTTTGCGATAGGAGCAAATGAGCGATACTTGTATCGGTGAATGGGAGGGGGAGAGTCAATCTTTTCCCCTTACAAACGTGGAAAAGGTAGAGGAGAAGATCTTAGTGTGTGGAAGTAGCAAAAACGGGGAGAGGATGAGAGACTGATGTCCTCCATTAATTTGGTGAGTGAGAATACAAGTGAGACAACGTATGGATTCAGGCAGGCCGTAGGTGAAGCCACAGAATAGTTCACCGCCCTACCACCTGAGAAAAAAGGTCCGTTTGTACATGCCGTCTCACTCCCTTCTCAGCTACCTCTGTCCATCTTTCGTCCAGAGTACCTTGGCAAATTTATCTTATAGTGAGGTAAGGTAAGGTACTTTACCTAAGTGCCTCTTGATTGCCTCCTTTTGGCCCTTTGTGTTTGGTATGGTCCTGCCTGTTTTGTTTGAGACCAAAGGCTGGTAGTGCCTTCCTCTTTTCAAACGCGCTGGCTACACTTTCCCATCCTACATGTTGATACCTTCCTGAGAGCTTGAACTTGAGGTGACCTGCCGGTCATTTAGTTGAGGTACGTATTAAGGAAACTGGGAAGGAAGGAGCTGCCAGTACCTCACTTACCTTACCTTACGTTACACCACCGCAGTGTTGCCTTGTGCCCTCTAGCCCACATCAACTGACAAATTTTCCCACTCTGCTCTTCTCTTCTCTTCTCAAGGCTGTCGTCAGTCATACCAACCCGGGAACTTGGGCGCGTGGGTACCGGTTCTCTGATCAAGTCGAGAACATCGGTTGTCGAGATAACAGACAATTCAACCCCTTCCCAAACACTGAGAACGGCAGAGCATCACGTACTTGTCTTCCCATACAATACTGACTTCCGTCGTCGATACTAGGACAAGCTTTTTGGACCAACACAAACCAGACACCATCAACATGGGCGCCGCCGACGAGAATACCCAGGCGCTTAGCACTGCAACGACCAAAGCCGGCACAGCGACTACTCTCTCCACACTCGGTGAAACTACCACCCTGCCTTTCGAGCTTGTCCTCAACATCATGGGCTATGCCGTTCTATACGCTGAGAGCATTGATTTCCTGAAATTGAGTTGAGAAATGGAGAGAGACGATAGTCAAGCTCTCGGTGTCTCGTTCGTTCTCGCAAAGACTAATCTAAATCCTTGGCAAATTGTACACCGTCATCGGTTCAGAGGTATTCGCATCCTGCTCCAAACCAGTTGGAATATTAGATCCATGGTCTTAGGCAAATTCTACTTTTTGTACCCACAGGTGCAAAAAGAGGAGGATGTCTCTAACTACGTCTTGATCAATCCGAAGAAAGATCAATTCCAGTTTGCCGACCACCATGCGCGGAATGGCGATGGGCATCCTCGTGCGGCACTCAAACCACCTGTCGAGCGCATGGGCAAAGTCTTTATTGGCAACGGCAGCTTCTTTGCGCCAAGCAACTTCATTAATATCGAGATCTTACAATCTCTCCCCAGCTTGCGTCGAGTCGACCTAAAAATTGGAACAATGGTGCGGCTGACATTGGAATCAGAGTCTCCGGAGGTCGGACTGGTAGAAGTTGGATCCGGTAATTGGAGAATTTACACGGGATCGTTTCCGGATCTTGCAGCATGGGCAGGAAAACACAAAGCCACCTTTCCTGCCACATGGCAGCCATTCAGGGAGAGAGGAGTCAGCCTCCTAGGTTGGCGAAGAGAAGGGCACTTCGCCGGGAAATGGTGTTTTTGTAGCAAACGGGTCTGGCTCAACACTTCTTCCGACATCATTTGCATGAATCTCTGCGAGGCCTTGGATGATTATTACCGTCGCTGGGATTGAGTTCATGCGGGGGAGGCTGAAAACCCTTGCATTATTTAAAAAGTCACCTGAGAGTAGTCATTCGGTGATTGTTAGTAAGCAGGAATTTTGAGTTGCCCAACGACGAGGACGTTGGGCTGGGAGTTTCCAAGCAATCATCTCTCCCTCTAATGTATGATAAGAATATCTCATTGGTGGATATTGTTGTTCGATTGGTGTGCTCTTGTCATGCAAGCTCAACAGGATGTTCAAGTCATATCAGTCATATTTCCTTTAGTTCTTGAGAGCCGTCTTGTCATTCCTAAATCATGCTGTGCATGATGTAGAAACTTAGGCAATGAAAGGCATTCAATCAGAAATCAGATGAAGATGGAAAACCCACCCAAATTCACGGACTGAACTATTGTGGTATCTCCATCGTAGGCCCTTGTGATACATGCGTAAGTGCGACTAAACTATAAGCCGACGACGTCTACTTACCTTTTGATCACATATGAATTTTACGACGGTGCGCTGGATGCTACTGTTGCTAGGCGAGCCAGCCCTTCACAGTAAAGGCAGTAGTGGATGTTGAGATATACGACATAAACGATTCGGACAATATAGATTGATGGACTGTAATTAGAATGGCCCAAAAATTATTTTCGCAAATGGTAGGTCCTGGTCCATCTACGGAGTGTTTTTGCGAGTATGGGCAACATTCCTAATTCTCGAGCTTGGAGTATTGCATCGGTTTAGCCGGCCTATCAGGCTCGCTAACAGACGCGAGGTATCATGGGCTCATAGAAGACATGTGTTCATGGCCAGATACATCTTTCCATGAATAATGACGCATTGGAAGACCTTGCATTCTCTGATCATTGGCTGGTTCGAAATTGAACATGGAATTACTTAGTCCGCCACCCCATCAGATATCGACCAAAGATCATGGTCGTCGGAAGGATTGCAGTTGAGACTTCAGCAACCTTCCTGGGGCGCTTTTTCCGGAAGTGCAGCTCTTCGATACTGTCTGTGGTTGGGTCCAGAAAGGGGCGTAGGTTTCAGTCATAAGGTATCAACAGGCATGGGATGGACTTAGCCACCTGTTCCTGCTCCTATATTTCGTTTCTTAATGTTTCGGTCCTTTTTATTCCAGGGTAGCTTGCGCTCGGGGAAGTTAAGTCGAGGCGAGGCTTTGCGCCCTGCATCGGAAATTTGCTCTGTAGCTTCTTTGTCGTCCAGTGACTGCTCGAAGCTGGAAATCTAGGTGTTGCCGTGTCCCCAAGCAAATCGTAATGAACTTTAGCTATTGAAGGGAAAAGTCAACCGGTTCAGCCCAGGTGTTTACTCAAGATAATTTTGTACATGTTAGACCGGTGGTAGCGTATTGATAGAGGGTGATTTGGGGTCTTCCAGGATATGGCGAGTGAAATACCGGGCTTCGTTCGATGGTGGCGCACTCTACCGACCCAGGCCGGGTAATGCTGTTCCGCGATCATGTCGAGAGCAATCCAGCAATCAGGGGCCAAAATTCTGCTTTTCCGTCTCGTCAAGATCTTCAAAATTCCAAAGGGCTGTCCTCAATTCATATGCGTTGCAACGAGGAGCGAACAACATAGAGACCGGAAGTCTTGGAAAGCTTGACTCCGTATCAGTAGATGTAAAGTTTCCCGACTACGACAATATAGACAGAGGAATCCAACTTCCAGGTCAATTTTTGACCAAGCTCTATGCCTGGTGCTCCTGAATGGATGAGGTGCATGCACTACTTTGCTCGTCATCTAAGGCGCTACACGATTCACGAAGCCTGCCGGATCGAAACACGACCGGGCAGGAGTCGACGTTGGCGACCACCACAGCCTTAGTAACTATCACATATCAGGTTGCTGGGATTCTTACTCATGAACAACACATCATGAATGTGAAGACCAAGATTTGAAGAGATCGCGATGTTATCCTGCAGGATACAAGGACGAGGGGTTGTTGTTCCATCCAATCAGGTATGTTGCGGACCTGCGGGGTGGATCCCTCCGCAGTCCCGCTTTCTTCAACCTCCTATCCATCTACCGAGTACCAAGAAAACCGAGAACCTTCATCGGTTCAGCTCCCAGGATATTGTTTGCCTATCTCGGGGGACCTGAGTACTTCGCAAGCCGATGTTGACCTTTAGCGCGGGACACATGTGTTGAACATCACTGGGCCATACACCGACAGCGTGTGGCACTAGGCCCGAACCCTGGCATGTTCGACTCGTGGATTCTGTGCTTTCTAAACAGCTAAAACAAAAGCCTCAACGCCAGAGCGTTGAGATTTGAACCAAGACACGACAACAATCGCTCCAGAGAAGGGGGCTAGAAGCTTCATCTGAGACCACACACCCGTACTAACACTGAAGGGCGAGTGGACATGACGTATTAGTGTTCCTCATTACTAGAACTCCAACGCCTTTGAGGCGGGCCTGTTGACTAATTACGAGCCGATCGTTTACTGTACATTATCTAACATGGATCTCATGGACTTTTTCTCGCCGAACCAAACTCTACGCCATCCTCGAGATCTCAAACGTAGTCTTGACATGGATATTTCCGGTATTACCTCGTACCTCCTCATCCGAACGCTTTGCCGAAACAGACACGTCGTGTAGGCTCTTCATGATGCGCTCCTCGCTATCGTTATCGATTTCAGTCCATCCCATATTCGCAGAGCGGCCGTCTTTGGTCAGTTTATCGAGGCGATGACTGCTGCTCTTTGCGCCAATCGTGACGATGTGATTAGCCGACTCTTGGCCGCCCGTCTTGGAGCGGTTCTTTGACGTGCGGGAACGCACGGCCGAGGCGTTTTTGGCGATCCAGGGACCCAGGACCGGGGCGTTGACGGCTAGGATTGCGACGAACTGTCGGGGGTGGGAAAAGGCCGGGGTCAGTGGGGGTGAACGAGAACGGAATCAGAGTTTGCCGGATCGGAGAGGGAGAGGGGGCAATGTAAATTGGATGAGGAGCGTGGGTCTTACTGTTTCTCTGATGGACCAAATGGTGCCCAGATTGATCGACTTTGCATCCTGCAGGCAGAGAATGCACCTGAGAAGGGTAGCAATGATGATGAAGATACCAGTGCAAAGCCACAGAGAGCAGATAATTTTCCTGCCCATCATCAGTAACTACACAAAAACCCATTTTACCGTCGACCCGACTTACTTTGCCATTGGCATCTGAACTGACCATAGCAACGGTATTGGGATGTACAGAATCATCATGTCGGTTCTGTCTCAAAGTTAGAAGTCTTCCCACGATAACACGAAGTCATAGGGTCTCAATGTGTCCACCGGGGGGACATACGCGACATTCGTAATTGCCAGTGCAATGTAATTGGGAATGTTCAGCGCACATGCGTCTATATCCAAGTCAACTTGAAGGTCCATCAAAAATCGGGTCAAGAAAGAAGCTAACCACCGGGATATGGATAAATCTGCCAGTTCCTGTGTACTGGCATGCACTTTGTCATAATGACAAGGACTGTGGCAACGTAACACAAGACACACGCTCCAGCAGTTATCTTCACCATCTTTTGCTGTTGTAAGTTGAGTCTATACCCCATTGAACCACCACGTCAGCTGAACTTCGCGGAATGTAAGGACGAGGCAATCGATCATACGTGAGTCTCATGTAGAGGAACAGCATGCATGCTTTCAAGCACCAGATGAGGGTAACGTAGAGAACCCATCCAGCTAGAAGGCATTTGCTCCCAATGACAATTGACTGTTTCTGTTGGTCCGAAAGCGTCAGAGCAATCGCGTCGCTCATTCCGGTGATGCTACCATATCGACCTGAAGCGGAGAGAGAGAAAGTTAGACTTCGATCCGATCTCATGAAGTAAGGGGGCTTGTCGAAGGAATCCTCACCGATCATCTCAAGCATCAATAACTCGCCCTAGAAACCAAGGATCAGCTCCAAACTCTATCTTCGAAGCGGTCGTGCGCTGGGTAGTACACCCTTACCGTCCAGAACAACACCGCGATGGCCGCGAAATAATCATCTCCTTCCCAGTTGGTCCCAACAAGTCTCGTCCGATAGACGATACGTATCAGTAGCACGAGCAGCCCGATGGCATACTCGGTCCAAGCCTCAACTTGGAACGGCGTCGCCATGGTGTGTGCTGGTGCTGGTGGTGGGGGAGTGCCTGGGTGGGAAGATGCGGGCTATGCAGTTGCGGTGGTCTCTCATCCGCAAGTTTCGCCCCTCACCTCTGCAATGTGATGTGGCCTCCCTTTTCAACCCAGAAAGCAAAAAGCTTTTGCTGGGGCCAGGCATGAATTATACAAAATTCCCGCTGTCCAAATTCAGTCATGCCCTAGGCGCGTGTCTGCCAGTTCTGGGATCTTGGAAGCAGAAAAACACTATAGAACCAGGGGGTCAACTAGGACCTTGTGGTGCCATGTTGACACCTTGAGTTGCATTCCGACATCTTGCCGTGGGAAAAAGGGGCCTTTCGAACAGAATCCCCATCCGTACCTGAATCGTGAAAGACGTCTTTGGGGGACTAGTGTCGGGGTTCGCAATATAGATCTGCGCCTGTCTTTGCAATTCTGAGGCTGCAGCTGGCTGGGAAGCCTGGGAAGGCCGTCCTTCTGCCCACCGCCGGTGGGGTTTGCGGTTTTGGTGGAACGTTAGTCGGGATGTCAATAGTTTGCGACCCCTGCGAGAGGGACCTTTCCGAGTGCTGCCCAAGACGTGACGCGCAGTCATATCTATCATGCGTTTGCCGTCCCGCTGAAAAATGTCTCTTTGTTATTTCCTGGAGCGGAGACGTCTCGGTGCGCCATCTATTTAGCGTAAAGTCAGTGCCCGGGGAAGTCTACCGTCTCTTTCTTAGCTCACTACCGTCCTCGTGGAGGCAAGACATTGGATTGCTAGCCATGCGAGATAAAGTCATTCGGGACTGGATTGACGGCAAACAAGGCAGAGATGAATTTTAAAACATGAAGATAGCAATTCGGATCTTCCGACATGTTGTTTCGACCCATGATGCAACCGGGACTTGACACTACTCCAAGTTGCGATTCGGAGCCGCAACTAAGGTTGTAAGGACAGACCCCATCGATTCCAAGGACTTGACCGTTTGGGAAACGACATTTGCCTATGGCTTCTTGTCAAGCATCCCTGTACTTGCATGTCAGTATAGCAATTTAGCCTGGCCCTAGACCATCTTCCCAAGATGCGGCCTTGTTCCTCCGCTTCGTGGTATCAGTCAGGTTCCTACCCCCTTGATGTGGCTTAAAAGCATAGTCCCCCGACTTCCTCTCTTCGTACACCGCACGGCTGCTCACTATCCCCCCTTGTCACCAATCCCATCACCCGTATTACGCAAGATGCTTGTCTCCGCAATCCCAGAGCACCTCCAGCAGTGCCCCCGAAAGATAGCTGCCAAGACACCACCCGGCTTTCAACCTCCTTTCCCAGCTTATAGTGCCAGCTTCCCCAAGGACACCAAAGATCTCGTCTTTGCAGTCATCGGTGCTCAGTACACCTCTGCATCCAAGGCAGATGGCGCCGCCGTCACGCAGCTGACGAAATTCACCACCTCTAAGACCGTGGACGCCGAGGCCCGCCCTCAGTTCGCCGAGTGGGCGTCCGTCACCGACAACAAGGGCTGCTACAACATTGCACACCTAGCTTACTGGCCGAGCAAGACAGCTTACGAGAAATGGGCCGTCGACTCAGGGTTCCAACAATGGTGGGATGACCTGGACGTCGAGTCACAAAGCCACGGATGGTTCCTCGAGATCTTTTTCCCGACGATTGACCGATTCGAAACTGTATTTTCCAACAACGAGGTGCCCGAAGGTGCGGCACATATGAGGGAATGCGTCAGGGGCCCGATCCAGGAGCATGTGTACTGGGGTAGCATGCGTGATCGCATGGCTGCCGCCCAGGATGACGAGCTTGCAGGAGAAAAGGTTGATCGACCGACGACGACCTCCAATACCAACGGCACGGAAACCAACGGAGACGCAAAAAAGCCATCTCGTAGAGTCAAAGTCGGCGGCAAGCACAACTTGGCCGTCATTCGCTCCGGCCAAGACTGGTCCGACACTTTGCCCGAGGAGCGAGAGCTCTATCTCAACACTATGCACCCGGTTCTGATCAAGGGGATGAACTTTTTGCGCGATCAAGGAGAGGAAGTCGGTTGTCACAGCTGCCGATTTATGGATCTAGTTGATCCCGTAACGGGCAAGGCCGATAAGGATCGCACCTTTGGACTGGCGTTCTTCGATGAGCTAGGCTCGCTGGAAGGATGGGCCAAGCAACACTCAACACATCTGGAAATCTTTGGAGGCTTCTTGCAATATGCGAAGAAGCTCGAGAATAACGTCTCGCTTCGCCTCTTCCACGAAGTGCTAGTACTCAAGCCTGAGCAACAATTTTTCGAGTACGTTGGCTGCCATCCGGGCACCGGTTTGCTGGCCATAGTCTAGTCAATTGATGCACTTGAGATGCCAAGCTTTGATCTAAGATACAAATGTCTTAATTGTCGGCATATGCCCAGAGGAACGTAGCTGTTGTGGTTTTAATGTGTGCACCGACAACTGCAAACCTGATGTTGGAGATCTATCGAATGGCTCCGAGAGCTTCCCCGAATCGAGTTAGATTGACATGACTCTCTCAGATAGTCGTCCCGCCGTTATCGTGCGGACTTAATAACTCCGCAAGTTCAATGTCAACAGATGCTTTTATCTCCTGGGTGTGGAAGCATTGTGGAGAAACGACTTATCGAGTTATTCCTGCTGGTATTTTGTGGCGTCAAATCTTTGCTTGAGCGTCAGATGCTGGGTCGGGTAACTTGTGATGCGATGCTTCCCCAGCGCACCTCCGAAACCCGGATCCGGAATTCCGGGGACGAGTGGATCTCCGCGCTGAAGAGTGGATTCTCAATCGGCCGGCAAGCTCGGGACTTGTACTTGGGCTTAGAGGGCAGGCATGCCGGGACGAGACCAGCAGCCTCCTACACTTCATCTTGGGTAAAGTTAAACTTGACACCGCCGATGGTCATGTTTGAGTGCGGTAGATAATTTCTTATGGGACAAAGTAAGATCAATTCTGCTAGAAGGTACATGTACGTCCCTTTGACGACAGCGGCCACATACATGCTTCAGCTAGAGGACACAAGCTTCTAGTTCATTTGAAAATACTACTTACCCGTAACATCTTAGCATATTATTTCTGCGGTATAGAAATTCGAGTTCTTAGGCCTTTAGGCCGCCGGTCTCTGAGATACACACTTTGCTTCATGACCTACTACTTAGTGGCTGAAAGGCTGAAATAGTTCCTGGTATAAGGCCGGTTTACTTGAAAACTTTGTATTGACCTAGAAGACAGGATGGATAAAGCTAGATAGAATAGTATGTGTCTCTAGTGCCCAAGCCAAATTCCGAACTGAGATCTTAGTATAACTTGGAAGGTCTCGATCAACACCATTCAAGAGTAACGACTCCCAATGCTCATTCGAACTAACTGCCACGACTAAGAGGTCTTCAATTTCAACGATCCATACGTCCGAACCTCTACACCCACGTTACAACACCCAGAGTTGCGTAAGAACTGCAGACAAGCATGGAACTGTCGCTCATTCCTGACCCACAGGATTTCATCAATCACCAAAAACTCTTCTTCTTCGACAAAGTGCACCCCAAAACGTTCGGTATCGCTCAGAATCTCAACCAGCTTCTGCCATGAAGGCTTCTGTGACGTATCCAGAATGTCTTCGGAGGCCACAAGATCCCGCCTTTGAGGGTCCTCAGCACGCCTGATATTAAGGACGAAGTCTAAATTGTGGTAGTTTCCCCTGCAAATCTGTGAGGGTAGTGAAGTTGTCTCTCCGGATCGCTCTGTCCTGCTTGCTTTGGGAGATAGTTCCTCACCTTTTGCAGGGGTAGTTTGTGCAGGAGCGTTACCATCCTCGTCCTCGGGTGAGTCTGGTGACGACTCCATTGATGAACCTGGCGGAGAAGAGTCGTCTGTTGTGTTCAATGATTCTGCAGGGCTGGGAGGTCTGTAATCAACGAGACCTGTCAGAGATACCCCGGCAGTAGAATCCAGCTGGAAAGTTTTGGCACTGCCGATCCTACTCAGCAGTTCTTGTCGGGCTACTGATTCCATTGAGATACACATGCTTTTGATGACTGATTTGTATGTCTTGTATGCTTTTTGGTTCGATGTCGGTGGGGATCTCCACGCCAAGTACAACTTCTGATGGCACGAAGATACAGAAAAGGACGTGGGGTGGCTCTGGAGGAATCTCTGACACAAGAAGCAGCTTTTCTTGCTAACCCCCATGAATCTAAACGGCGGCATAAGCTCGGGGTTTTGGTCGTAGTATGCGATAAGCTGCAACTCGGCATGAACAGCAAGTTGCAGATGACAAGCTTTCCGGAAGCACAACTCGGGATTTGCCACACCCCAGATCGTAGCCAATCTCCTCGCGAACTCATGATCTAGGCCTGTAACAAATCTTCGAAGGGTATCCCTCAAAGGCAATTCGTTTTCTTTCATGACAAACTCAAGCCTTGCAAAGGGTTCGACGGTTTCTATTCGCATCGGACAAAACAACCCGCGGTATTCTGCCGGAAGCTGACACAAGGCTCTTGATGCGACCGCATATCTTCCCAGCTTGTAGATGCTGTATATCCAACCAGGCAGGCCAGCACCCTGGGAATAGAAAAGAGCCTCAAGGTAGGTGGAAAATTCCCACTTTGCCTTTTCTGCCCACAGAATGTAAGGCAATAGCTCTAATGGAGACGCTTCCGCCGCGACGGTTGTGATTGCATTGAGATTTCCCATCCACGTAAAGAATTTCTCGATTTCGCTGGGATTGAATGTGGAAGAAAGTTGCGGCAGAAATTGCTCAGTCCTCAAGATATCCGATCGATGTTTCCCCAGTTCCGCAAAATAATGGCGTATCTTAGGCGAATCGAGACTGATTATCTTCAACAGAACAATCGTCCTCCGCTCATCTGTAAGACCTAGCCACGGGATCAGCCTGAGTCTTCTACAAAAGACTGAGAGTATTGTATTACCCATGACAGATACAGTGTGAAGGTCTTCCATCACGTCCCGAAGAAGGACAAGCGTCGACGCGCACACACCAGCATTGCTAGCAATGCGAACAATTGAGCCTTCAGGCGCTCCTACCTCTAAGGTTGCCGCAGATACTCTGTCGCCATCTTTGTGCGTTGAAGCCAGTAGAGCAAAGGAGTCTAGGAACTTCCGTTTGAGGAGCACTTCTCGGGACACATCCGTGTTATGGGGATGGCGGTCAAGACCGTAAGCCGTCGGACTACCCCTCACCGGGTTCAGCTTGTGGAGAAGTACGGCATCTTGCACGAACCGTTTCTGTAGGTTGCCAGTGATTTCGAGAGTCATAGCTATCAGAAGAAGTAGCTATTGGAAAAGTCGTGATCAAGGAAGGAGAAAAATCTATGCGACGGATCACCGATGTCGTTGTGTAGCGTGGACGATGGCTAGTCTTTGCATGTTGATTTCGAGGCCTCTCCATCCCTCAAAAACACGGGCCTAATATACTTTATAAGTCGTGTGACAGTAACATGCATCCGCCAATTACAACTATTGCTGCTTGTGATCGGATTGAGAAGGTTTGAGTAAAGGTAATCGGGAACAATTCGGAGAGCCTCTCGCTGTCAGGCAGCTTTCTCCGAAGCTTGTTATGCATCTACTACACCGCTTGTCTTATCCGCCTTGTTTTCGTCACACAATGGTTGTTGGTCCACGTTAAAGGGGCCATGCATAGGGATGGGTGTCCAGGTGTTGTCGCGTCATACTCTGAAATCTGGATGCTGAGAGGGGGAAATCTGGACGGCCTCCTGCATATGCCGGCAACTCAAACGCCACAACCCACCACGCTGTTATGTATTTTTATTAATTTTTTTGTCGATAGAACCGGAGTAGGAGTTCTTGATCGATCCTACAAGATTCTACACCAGCGACGTTAAGAATAGAACACATAAGGTCGGAGACGATATCAAGCATTGGGAACTTTATCTTAACTTTCGGAGATGCTCAATTGTCGGAGTTTGAGAGAAGATTTCTTACTGTCGCGAAGTTCCAAAAATTTAGTCGTCAAGTTGGTCTCAAACTTAAGTCATTCTGTCTGCTTTACTTCAGACTGGAGAATCACAGCATGGATTTCGAAGAATACGACCGAGCCTTCACGTCTCTGAAGTACACTTTCAGCAAATTTTAGGTCTCAAACCATGAGCCAAGAGCAGGACGAGTCCTCGAACAAGTCAATGACTTAAGTTGGGACGATGAGAAGGTCGTAGTGTATATGCCTAAAGGCCCCGATAATGACTGCTGCTTCACGTGAGCTACGACGTCTTGGCCTATAGGAGTCTAAGTCAGTCTGCGATTAATCCAGGCGTAATGCAGCGGATGGAAGAATCATCAATTTTAATCGGCAATGATAGCATGTGTGATGGGACTCGTGTCACATAGCACCGTCTGCCACGAGCATTAGTCTTCACTCTGAGCAGGATGGTCGCATCACAAGAGGTTTGACACTTGGCACTCTTTTCACAATTTGAGGCTCGAAATTGAGAGAGAGAGAGATATCATACCGACAATGCCACCTTCAGCCCTTGTTCGCTCGCAAGTGCCGCTGAGTCAAGACTTCATTTCATGTTAAGACTTTCCCCATATCATAAAGTACACTAAGAAGTCACTTCAACATGAATGTTCGATTTTCTTCATGCATTATTACACTTGAGCAGACGCTCTGCATATTCTACCCAGCTGTCACCATGCCCGAACCATCCATGATCATCATAGACTGTCCCTACATGTAGCAGTGGCGTTCAATAATCTCGCGTATGCGCAACAAAGGAGAATTTTCAGCGAGAAAAGAGCCACTGATCCCAGGAGACAAACAATCAAGCCAAACCTTTGTGGCGTCTTTGGAAGCTTGCTTCAGTCGGATTTATGCTCGTCTAATTAATTGCCAGTCACCCGGGGCCAAAGTTTCCAGCCCATTCTCAGATTCGGGTTTAGGCTGCCCAGCTCTCATATAAGAAAGTCTCAATCTTCCGTGGGACCTTCTGACCTTCAACGAATCACAGTAGAGTGGGCGAGGGCATTCGTTATTACCAACGATTATTCTTAAGATGTTTCACCTTGTGAAGTCAGGCTTGGCATCTCAAGAACTGCGCTTCGAGGCCCAAAACCGAGAAACTGGCCAAGGACATAGCATGACTCATTCAATCGTGCGTTTTAATTCTTGGCTAGACCTCGTACGAGACTGTCGGTATCCTCGGGTTTCTGGCGAGCATCCAACTGATTGCGGGCGTCCTGCGGACCAGGCGGCATTTCCTTGCCGTGTTGATTGAATGACCCGCAGGGAAAGCAAATGGGCCGAATAGCACAGTTTAATATCGTCAAGACTTCAACGCGGTATCCCTAAGCCTAACGTTCGTCTCGCATTGAACGATTGGGCACCACTACCAGCTTATCACATCTGATGGTTGTCTTGGCCTTCTCAACCTTGCCGCTTCACCAAGTTTCTCACAGGTCTCTAGAAACCAAGCTGTTGCTGGCAATGCTACGAGATAGACATGCGCTCTAATAAATAGTTGATTGCGTTCGCGTGATGTCTTGCAACAGGTATCGCAGGGGCCCTTGAAGCAAACGTCGAGCTGTAAGGAGATGATCCCTAATAAGGTTACGGAGGATTCTTTTCGTCAGGAGAGGAAATACCACGCGGTGGTCAGTGGTCTTTAAATAGATCCGAGCGTCAATTTGATGAAGCTGGCTTAAACTCTATCACTGCCCCAGCGAAAGAACGCAGCCGATCGGATGTGCTGGCCCCACAAGGCTCACAGATGAAACCATGACAAGCGAACAGGTGAGAAGGACATCAAGCTCGGACAATATATCATGATTCTAGGCCTGCGAGGCCGGCCAGGCCTGCACAGCCGATTCTTCACGTTGCAGTAAAGGGTTTCCTAGTATTGAGTCAAACGGGTGGTTCTGAAAGAGGTGAATGCATGACGATGTAGGCAAACCGCCGCAACTTTATTCGCCGTATAGCTGAACCCCCCTGTTGCAACTTGACCACGTCTCTGGCGTCAGGTACGGCGGGCAGACCGAGCTTGTAAGTTGTTACTAGGACAGTTCGTCAAATTGGTGAGTCTTCTATTGACATGTTCGGACGATAAAATGGAGACCAGCTGCCCTACGAGGCGATGGGAATCCGATTAGCTTGGTCAGCTCCAGCCGTTCCTTCTTTTTAGTCACTCATTTGACCGTACCACTATTCACTCATTTGGGTCCTTTGTGTTCCTCTTTTCAGAAGTCCTCAGCCGTGGCCATGGTGAAATCTTGGAATACCTTCGGGGGCCTCATGAGTGCCATTGCTACATTAGTAGTAGGAGCTCATGGTCAGACGGCCAACACGGTTGAATGGGTTAGCCTCCTTCTGGGACCCTAATTTCCCAATCTTACAAGTACAATGAAACTGACAAAAACCGTCTGTAATGTAGAGTCTCGGGATGTCCCTGAATTTCTTTGCTACAGCCGAAAATACACCATCATGCGCCGCAAGCTTCCAAGACGCAACAGGCGACGCCAAGACGTTCACACCTGTTCAGTCTAGTACTGACACGGTGATGGCGGGAGGCACTGCCGCCGACCTAGCCACCACATTTTACTTGACGAACGGAATTTTGGCTGGTGGTAAATCTTTCACCGATCCTTCGGGGATCAGAGTCGCCGGAGGCGGCTCTGGTGGTGGCTGCTGGGACATCTCCAGCGGCACTGTAAAGGTCGCAGCCTGCGATCTAGCCAAGAACCAGACATTCTATGTAAGCCAAAGACATCACTTACACCAAAGTTGCAAGCACCTAATAATGCCTTTCTTCAGGTCGGGATCCCTGGTGACAAGCAGCCGTTCTTCATCTTCTCCGCAACACTAGGAGCCCTCGAGAGGCCCGCCACAGCCGGCGACGCCCTCACCTTTCCTTCGGCCAGCCAGACCCAGTTCTGCGCGTACGCGAATGACACCGGAAAGCTCGTCATACCTCCTGCCACGGGGACTATGTACTACCCTCAAGCACAGCTGACAAACCTTACATCCACCTCCTTCGGTACCACCCCCCCAGCATCCGAAGGCGACATTCCTCAGTGCAGATTCGCCGACCAAGGCAACACATCAACATCCATGCTAGAAAGCATGGGCTCGACCGACTGCATCGTCGCGCGGTCTTTTGCGACTATCCCCAGCGGCTGCGATGCCAACCCTTCCAACAAGACTTGTATCCTTCACTTGTGGCCTGCCTTTTGTCTGGACCTTCCTGAAGTTCGCACTGGTGCCAACGCATCGGATGCTCTCGAGATTTGTGTGAGGAAGATCAGCCAGGGACCTTGCGTTGCCAATCCCTCCGGAGCCGCTTGCGCTTCTAATCTCTTTGCTGGGATCAAGTATGTTGGTGGTGTTGGTGGTGGGGGCAGCAGCGCGACCTCGAAGCGTCAGACTTCCAATGATCCTCTGTTTGGGAATCCCGAGTCGAATATTCCTCTCGAGGACCAATTTTGGATGGGTAAGTTTGAAGGAACTCCAGAGTCAAGAGAAGCCCGTCAACTAATACGAAGCTCAACCCAGGTGTCATGAAAAATGTTATCAACTCAGCTATCGGTGCCTTCAAATTTCTGGCCACACCGCACGTCCAAGAGCTTAAGATCACATGCATGGGCATGAGCCATCTCACCAGCATCTTTGAGGCAAGCGTTGGGAAGACCATTCGAGAAGGGTGCAGAGATGCCTTCAGAGCATTCGATGTAAGCCGAGTCACGGAGGGAGTTACCATTGAGTTGACATCACTGACGTACCTCGCAGAGCATCCACGAACTCACCTACGACAACGACATCGAGAAGGCAGGCAGTATCTTTGCCGATGTCGTGGGACTTTTGAGTCTGGCCAAAGATGTAGCAACGGCAGCAAAGGCCGTTGGGGCTGTTGATGCCGTACTGGCCAAGTTCGGCAAGACTGTCGCAACCGTTGGCGAAGGCAAGGGGCTCATGCTGGAAGCCAAAGAGGGTGAAAATACGGTTCAGATCTTTCGTGATACTGGCGATGGAAAGCCGAAGCTTTTGTACACTGATAGCGATGTTGCTGCCATGGAAAAATCTATCGAGGAAGGAGGTGAGTCTCGGCAATGCCCTGTGCATCCGGTTCTAAGGCTGACTTAACCAGGATTCGACAACTGCAAAATCTGCATCGAGGGCGGCGGTGTCAAGGTCCGCCGTCAAAGGGGCATTCTTCGCAAGTTCTGCTGCTTCCTGAGTCCCCAAACCATAGAAGCCCCCGAGCCCGTCTGGAACGATCAGACCGGGCTGGCAACCGGCCTCGGCACGTCCGAAGCCATCCCTTTAGCCAACCGTGTCGTCGCTACCCTATCCGAAACAGCAGCCCTCTCCACCGACGAGAAGACAATCATCACCACAATGAGCCAGGGCTTTGCCAACTGGTACACAAAGGCGCAGTCCGTCTCCGCAAACGTCGACGAGATTAGCACCCTACTCCTTGAGGCGAGAAAGAACACCGCCGACTGGGGCAAGATCGCTACTGCGACGTCCAAGGCCTACGGTCTGAGTGATCAGGAGAAGTGGGCTCTCAAGACGTGGATTCAGTGGTACATGATTAACCCCGAGTTCAACAACGCCTTGTCAAAGCTGCCTTCTGCTACCGGCTTGGTGGTCCGCTCGACTGATCTTGATGCTGCGACGGTTAGTATGCTCAACAAGCTTGAGACTGGTGTGATTAGCAAGGGCAAGGCAGGCATATACGAGGTCCAAGGTCAGTCATTCTGATGTGCTTTGAAACTTGCACCATGTTTTACTCACTCACCAAACGCCAGACCTCGTTCTCAATGTGAACACGCCCTCAGGCGGAACGGGCCAAGTTCGCAAAGTCATGGCGACGACCCTCAACCTCGGCGACGGCATGTTCACAACCACAAAAGACTATCTCTTCATGATCAACTCCAAGTCCGGTCGGTATATCGAAGCTGTTGCCAACTCCGAATACCGCGAGACCTCCTTTGTGCAAGGAATCTCGGGCAAGTTTAAGCTCATCGGCAAGCAAGAGTTGAACGGCGGCGAGGCCGCCAAGGCGGCGGGCAAGCCAGGTCCCTACGCTGTCTATTAGTGAGTAAACCAGCATCGGTGTCCGCTCCCTGGATCTAGTAGGGCTAACGAGGGGGAAAGCTTTGATGAGATTGAGGCGCCAGCTTCAACCTCAAAGGTTACTGTTGCGGACGTTAGGAAGGCCCTGACTGATGAGGGCATTACATCATCTGGAGGTTCTGCCAAGCGTGGCATCGATGGTCTACTAGATGTGCTTGAAAGTAGAGTCGTTGCCACTGGGAAGAAGAGGCATGGCTTGGACTATCATGTCCGCAACCGCGTTGTCCGTCACTGATGAGTGATAGACAGATGAGCCAAGGAAATCAGGTAGTTTCTTGTACATACCCTCAAGTTAGTTCGTTCTATTTTTTTTCAGCATATTTGTATCTTTTCACATTGGTCGTCACTGCCAAAGCAGAACAGTCGCGATCATTCCAGTTCACGAAACTTTTGCCTCTCAATGCTGTCCCCTCCAGCTAAATAATTCCCTTCCCCGCGGTCAAGCCCCAGACAACGCCCTTTCTTCCACCGCAAGCTCAACACGCATTTCCTCAAACCCCAATAGTCTTCCATAGCTTTCTCCTTGACTTGGGCTCCAAAGTACACTCAGACCGACAAAGATGTGTTTTCTACCCTTCAGCTTCATCGTTAGCGGCTGACCCCTTGGTCCATTGTGTTGATTGCAAGCGTGTACAGATGCATCTTCTCCGGCCAATTCGGCCCCATCGTCATCAGTATTTCTCTCATGACGCCCGAATCAGGCGAACATCCAACCCCAATCTTCTGCTCGGATTTTCTCTGAATCTCTCGCACTTCCTTCATTGTCTCCTGTTCGGTCTGGCTCGGCGGTCGCACTGCACGCGTGAGGTGGTCGACCCCGGCATCATCAAATTTTGCCTCTTCGTGCATTGGGAAGCCACCAGGGGTGTCCAAGAGAATCTCAAGCTGAGTCCTCTCAAGCTCATTCTTGTTGCTAACAAGCGTCGGTCCCAAGAGAACTTGCATGTTTTCCGGCGTGTCCTTGCCGGTGATGACGAGACGTCGAAGCAGCAGCGCCAATCCTTTGTGAGTTGCAATAGGATCGAGAAGAAGGGAGCGCATCAACGCCTTTCCCTCCGGGAGCTTTTGTACACGGTGACCACTAGATCTCCAGGTGGATTGAGGTCGACGTGTCGGACGCCGAAGACCCATTTATTGTCAAGACCTGACGGCTTTGTTATCGACCGACCGAGGTTCTTGAAATCCCTCACAGCTCGCTCCATTCTGTAGGCGAGATCAATAATCTGAGTCGTTCATCCAAGGTAGTGCAGGAGAAATTGTACGATGGCCGAAGATCGATGGGAGAGGCAGGCTACGCTTGTGCTTGATATTTTCTCAAAGAGCTCACTTGACTTCTGGTTGCCGTTTGCGTAGAAAAGAATGGAAAGAGAGGTTGCAGATGGCAAGGGACAGTGCTTGGGCAGCGGGGTCAAATCCATGGCTCAGGGCCGTAACGTTCCCTCTACTTTAGCAGAGGAACGGGAAACCCTTTCTCAGAGAGAGTGTGAAATACATGGTTCTTTCCTCGCCTTTGACTGGAAGCCCGCGGGAAAGTGTTGAGAGCATCGATCCGGTAATCACAATACACGTACATTTCGGATTTTTCCCCAAGTCGTTGGAGTCATCGTCGTTCCTTGTCTCGTTGCAGTGCTCCAAGCCTTAATGTTCTTCAAAGCTTAGCGCCCCTGCTGACAGCCGCACTAATCTCTTGCCGAACAGCCAGGTCTGTGATGATCTCTTCACTTCCGCCGCCCACAATGTTTACTCGAAGATCTCTGCTTATCTGCTCGACTCGAGCCCCAACGCCGCCGCGCTGATATCCAGCACCACCGAAGATCTGCTGTGCTTCTCGATTTGAGAGCTCTAGAAGGCGACCGCCGTGAATCTTGGCCATGGCAATCCTCGATGCAAGTTCTGTGCCCATGAACCCGGTGGTATGAGCATGATACGCAATCTGCTCAAGCCAAGCCCAGTGAGACTCGATATAGCGCGCCATTGTGATGAGCTTATGTCTGATGATCTGATGATACATGAGTGGCTTGCCGAATGTGTGGCGGTCCATGGCATATGCCCAGGCGTCTTCCAAGCACACTCTAGCCTGGCCATTCATCAGCACTGCAAGAATGAATCGTTCTTTGTTGAAGTCTGTTTTGTCAACATTTGAGTCAAGGCGCATAACTTTCTCCCGCGGAGACACGTACTTGTCATGATGTACTGAAAACCTGCGTTCTCTTGCCCAATGAGATGGTTAACGGGTACTTTAACGTTGTCCAGCGTCACCCACGTGCTGTCCCCAGCATTCCATCCACTGTTACTGATCTTGCGTCGAGAAACGCCGGGAAGGTTGAGAGGAATTACGAGGACTGAAATACCCTTCATACCAGGGCCTCCAGTCCTTACGGCAGTCGTCATATGGCTCGCACGTATCGCACCAGTGATCCATTTCTAACGGTTCCTTAGTCTCAAGTCGTGAACCCTGGAGGAAGCCGATATTCAAGTACAGAATGCTTAGGTTGTTTACTCACCTTATGGCCATTTACCGTATAGTATTTACCATCATCTGATTTGATCGCCGTGGTCTTTAGATTCGCCAAGTCGGAGCCACCTTGACAGCATTAATCACCGCGATCCAAGTGCCTCTAGTCAACGAAAACGTAGAAGACAACTTACCAGTGGGCTCGGTGCAACCGAGACAAAAGCTTGTCTTCCCGGTGACAAGCCCTGAGAGCCACCAGTTCTTCTGTTCTTCTGTGCCATGATGGATGACGGGGGGTACACCGATCGTGGTGCCACCGTTGAGCCCCACTGACACTCCGGCAGCCCAGATCCTACTAGCCTCGTAGCTTACAACAAGAGAATGAAAGATATCCCATTCTACAGAAGATGTCAGAAGACAACTTGTCACACTGGGGCATCCTACTTACTCTCAGCCGGGACATCCCCTGGCAATGGGAGGTCGCCAGCATATTGACGCGGCAGCTCTGGGAAAGCCAGACCTGATTTGGCAAAGTGGACTCTTGCTTCATCGGGGACATGGCCCTTGTCTTCCCATTCCTGTATATGGGGTGCAATGTATTCCTCGATGTACTTTCGAACGTAATCTCTCACTCTTCGGTGACTGTCATTGTAGTAGGGAGAAGCCAGGGTATTGTACCACGCTGGCTCCGCAAATGGTGCAGGGTTGCCGTACGGCTCAACGACGGAAAAATTCTTGACTTTGGTAGACATTGTTTCTTCTCCAGCGCTTGGCCCAATTCAATTTCCCTTGAAATTCTTGAAAATGCCATGACTCTTGTCCATCAGTTTCTTAAAATACATGTGCGGCCGGGTGCACGGTGCGGGATGAGCCGAGGTCCGCCCTCGATACAGCCGCTTGCCCCGCGCCATCCGTAGCTTCTTGTCACGTCTCGTCTCTACCCCGCGCCTGGCAAAAGGATGACTTTAATGGTAGACACATGCAGGCTTTATTGACCCGGATGTGCGATGCGGTCGGACTTGGTTACTTTCTGGCACGACTCGCGTCGGTGTTAGGCGACGGCGGCAATACTTGAGGCACAAGCTGGCACGGCTGGGTAACGCCTAGGTTTCGGCCGCAAGGAAGCGGGCAGCACCTTTTTCCAGCTGGAATGCGGTTGTGTCTGCAGGTAAGATTCCTCCAGTAGCTTTGACGGCGTAAGATACCAAAGTGAAGGCAGTTTTGGCGATTTCCTGCGAAAACATCGTTGACACTGGATGGCAATGCGGTAAGTATGGTCGATGCTTTGTGACAGGCTCTAAACGAGCTCACTTGATGGTCCACTTGCCTGCTGATGTTGCATCAAATATGGGACTCTTCCAACTGCACATGGACTCGACTACGTTATAGATACCTTTGACCTTTCATCAATAACGCAAGCAATATGCATCACATCTAGATAAGAAACATATCAGCCGTCGACCGGAGAGATGTCTGCGACAGCCAAGCATCAGCACCCACCCAGAAACAACTCGTTCTCGTGAGTATGTTTGAGCAACACACAGCTTCACATCTCACAACCCCCTCCAAACAGAAGAGGAAATATCTCCTTCAAATTTTCTTCGGCCTGTTAACTAGAAGAAGTATGTAAAGCCTCGGACTCGGCGAGTCAGTTCGGGTTCTCGGCTTCGTGTTTGACGTCAGCGGTAGGACCTCTCCATGTTCATCCCTGATTGACTTTTAAAGTTATAGAAGCGCACCTCTTTCCTCTTTTCCGCGCGTCTGGCTGGCTAGTCTACCGGCTATCAAACACGTGTATGCGTTGGCCGATCAAGCTGTCTGAACACGAATGTCCCAGAATATTGGGTATTGTCCGAAGAAGACGAAACGCGACGGAAAGAATGTCGCACGTGGAATCTCCGGGCTGAAGGGAAATAGCCGACTTTTCAGGCAATGCTATTAAACATTGGAAAGAGTCGGGGTTTGAGCCGTCGCAAGCGAAGTTCTGCTCAGCAGAAACTCTACCTCGTCAACGTCAAGCCATAACTTACAGAGTTATCCGTCACCTACTCCAGCCGAATTGCAGTTGGTGGAATAACGCGACATACACGCGTTTACAAGCAACCAGCCTGCTTGCTTTTTACCGGAAATGTAGCCCTCTAATTCAAATACTGGGATTCTAGCTGAGGATGTGGTCACAGTTTTGACTTTCCGTTATCGTGTACTCTGTCAAGGATGGCAGCACACACAGAGTTCCCGTCTCGCAACCCTCCTGAATGCCTTGTGTCGAACTCTATTCACGTTGGGAGAGATCACCCACCGGCACGACGTTTCAGAGCTTGTCCAGTTCAATCCCTCATCCCCCCCTCCTCATTTTCGTAGTCGTTCCCAATCAGATGTCTCTTGTTACCCTTCTAGAGCCTTTCTAGTGCTTCCTCAGCTTCTGCCCCTCGATGTCATCACCGCTGCTGCCCTTCCTGTCGAAATTTCTCCTCCTCCTCCCCGCCACCTATGGAAGCGTCGTGACTTTCTAATCCGACCGACTGACCGATACCCCCGGCATCGCGATATGTCGTTCTTTCGGTCATTGGATGCGGTCAAAGGCATGCCTCTGATGACGCCGGAGCGAGAGGCTGCTTTTAGGGCGGAAAATAGAGCGGGAGAGGTGTATACAATTCATATAATCTTCTTCGTCCTCTCGATTCTTTCGGTTTGTGCGCGGCTTGCTGCGGCGAGGCAGTCTGGTCGGAGGCTGGCTTGGGATGACTGGCTATCGGTAACTGCTCTGGTGAGTTTGTGATTCCTCGGGCGACTGAGTCGACGAGATCAAGGTCTCGTGATTCCCATGGTTTCTCCAAGTTTCTCCAGTGATGAATATTGCTTACACATGTTCCAGGTCTTCATCGTCGGAGTGTTTACCGGCACGATGTTCTGGCTCAAGTTTGGGCTTGGTAGACACGAAGTAGTTGTCCACGAGGAAGATCCCATGAACATTACCCGGTTTTACCAGACCATTTTCGCCAACGAGATTATGTATCCGATGGGACTGGCAAGTGCGCGGCTATCACTAGTGATATTGTATCACCGCATCTTTGGGCTCTTCAGTGCAAGGTATTACTTGTATGGTCTCATGTTCTTCATCGGAGCATGGGCGATCTACGCCGTAAGTCAGCTTGAGTCACCCATGGAATCGCCGCCTTAGCAAAGATACACATCAATGTCATGAGGAAGAGGAAGCCGACATGAACGCGTGCTATGAGAGGGGCGGAAGAACGTGATTGGAGAATGGCCACAATTGCTGACATGATATCTAGACCATTCCAACAATTGTAGCTTGCATACCCGTGCAAAACTTCTGGACTACACATAAGAACTGCCTTGACCTATCTAAATTATACATCAGCATAGCAGTCGGTAGTATCGTGACCGATTTCGTGTTGATTCTCATTCCGATACCTTACGCCATGAGGTTGACGATGTCACCTTTCAAGAAGATGCTTCTCATCTCGTCTTTCGTATTTGGCGGTTTGTGAGTTCTTCCATGATGCGTACTATTTGCATGGAGGACCGAGAAGAATACCTTCCTGACGTTTTCAAATTAGCAACTGCTTCATCACCATCATACGACTTGTCAAAGTCTCGGCCTTTGACTACAAAGATCCCACATGGGGAACAGTCGATCTCATGATTTGGACCG